AAAAGGTAGTCAAGCTCTGATTCCAACCGGAAAAAACCTGCAGAGAAACCTGCACAGGTGAGCTGCTTCTGTTTTGGAACCCTATGAGGTCTCATTTCGACCCGCTCGCTCGGGGCAGGCACGGATTCAGGCGAAGAGATCCAACTTGAACTTGAGGTCTGATTCAAGTCTTTGCATCGCAGGGTTGTTGCAGTGAGGTTCAGAAGACTGCGCTAAACCCTAAAGGCCCTAAAGCCCTAAGTGGACTTCCATAGGCACAAAGTGCTCGAGCTCCGACAGAGAGCCCCGCAACCCGATCACCCAATTCGGAGCACAACCACAAAGCCCTAATCCTCCAACTAATTCCAGAATGCCAGGTCATCAAGTGTTTCCGAAGCGCACTTTCTTAGCGCCAGCCCTGGCAGCAATGAGGGCCAAGAGTGCAAAAGGCCCTGTCCCGATGTCCACCTTGGACGGCTCAGGGCTGAGGGTCACTGCTTCTGCCCCAGCCAAGACCAGAAATTACAGGGCGTGGCGGGATTGCGTATAAGAGGAAACCAGGGACGCATAAACAAGGTGCCATGCAAGGGAGGAAGAGTTATACGGTGCAGCCTCTTTACTAACTAGGATGATCTCTCGGCTTTCTTGCTTCCAACATCTTCCAACTTTAGGCTCTCGATGGCAATCCTGTAGCAACTCTAGCATTTTGGATGCAGCAATGATGGCTGGGAAAGTTTTGAATAAACAAAACATTACACATCTTATATCTTATTTAGCCGCATATGAACCTTCGTGTTGCTGCGTTCAAGGTCCTTCAATCCAACGCCGTTCGTTTCGACCCCTACAATAAACCCTAAAGCTTGAAAGCCTTTGTGTACACCGCCATCCCAAACATGATATAGGTTGCCGCGCATCTAAGCCTCTAAGTTGCATGATATTCGACCCCAAACCCGAGTCTTTCTATTACAGCGAAATCATAAACATCTCCAAGAGCCCTTTTAGACCTCTGCTTTGGGAGCTCTATAGGTAATTACCAAAATTTTCGAACCCCAAACCTAGGCCCTGAACCCGTACCATGGATTTTACTGAGGCTCTTTGAATCCATGGCGAGGCACCACCGTCGCGTCAGCCGCTTTGGCAAGGCGCCGCTTGATTGCATTTTCGAACCTGCAAGAGTTAGGCGAGTTAGGCATCATTTCGGTACTCCATCTAGGCATTGGTGGTTAAGGGGGCCTTTGTAGCGCTGTATGAGGGTCTAATTGGGGATTGCAGGCTTCCAAGGCTTGGGCTTTTGGAGTTTCGGGCTTGCGACCCCTCCCACCTGGAGGTGCGCGGAACGTCATCGCGCATAGCCTCGTAGTCTTTCAGGGACCAGTCCTCACGCGAAGAAACGCGACGGTCTGCGCCGTGCAAGCATCTTTCCGACCCAATCCTGACCACGCGTGCAAGGCGACAGTAGCGACTGCAGAGTTTCAGGCTTCGGGTGCGCTTGGGCTCGGATCCCCGAGCTGATCGTTGCCAAGCTTACGGCCCCAATTGGATCCTCACCTAGTTGTGAAGCCTCCGACTGTGGGGAGGAGCACTTGGGAAGATCGACATAGAGTATGATCTGGGGATTTGGGAGAAACGATGGCGTTTCAAGAGATCGTGAACAACAGAAGAAGCACTCTGCGGGTTGAGAACACTGTTGTCAACGTTGGGGCGGCCATCTGCAGCTGTCACAACAACAACGTCATCAATTCCACGAAGGTTTGGACGATATTCATCACTGTCACGTCTCCGGAAACTGGCACAGGACATAAACGATAGTGACAATGACACGTAACCCCTTCCCACCTGGCTTTGATGAATGCCAGCACCCCCACTGAACTTCACCAAACCGTAAGCCATCCCCAAACACGAACCCTAAACCCTAAACCGATACTTCTTACAAACTTTTGCAAGTGCTCCTCCAGGCCGCTCTCTGCAATGGTCTGATCCTGGCAAGGGGCATTGGCCGCAAGTCTTGGAGACTTTCGGGTTAGGGTTTCGGGTTTAGGGTTCAGGGCTTTCGGGGGTTGAGGTCTGGGCTTTATGGGTTTGCAGGTCTAGGGCCTGAGGGTGTAGGGGTTTCTGGTTGCGGTCCCCCTATATCTGCTATGGAGATCCATGGAGTTGAACGCCTGTGCGGGCAGGAATCATGTCAAAGGGCTGCCAGCGCTGAGCAATTGGATTCTTATCATACAGGCCACCCAAAAACAGATCCTCATCTTGGCCCTCTCAAGCCCTTAGTAGCCTTAGATACGTAGCTCTAGAAAACTCAAAGACCCGGTTGAAATCTCAGACGACGGCCATGCCATTTAGGTGCCTTAATCATAAGATAAAAGGGAGATTCTTCCGACGTGCATACTGCAAAAAAAAAACTGGGCATCATTAAGGAACCCTTAGAGAGGATTCGATGGCCCATGTCGACCCTACATCAAATCCGAAAGAAACCTTGATGGAAGCCTTGAGCCAACCCATATGGGTAGTTCTGAAATTAGGGTCCCTTTTTGGGTCCCCAATATAGTATCGCATCCTTATAAAAAAGGACACTAAACTGGACCCTATTTTAGAGAACTAACCATATCAACTCACTTTCTCTTGCTGCAGCCAGGGCTTCGAAGACCAAAGGCTGTCGCGCCAGGGCGGCCCCTGGCGCAAGCAGGCTGCCGGCCACGCCTCGCTTTTTTTAGTGCTCGTTTCAGGGGTACATAGGTCCGAAGAGGGTTTCGAGATGTTTGCTTGCGTGGTTTCGCAAAAATCAGCCGATTAGGAGGCTTCGACGCAGCTCCTGCACGAGACAGGAAGGGCTTGACGAGAGGTGTGCCTTGTGGTTTCTATCGGGTTCAGGGTTTGGAAGATCTTATAGTTGGCCTCGTACCTCCTTCATGGATCCTGCAGAGAGCGCTAAGGGCCGCGCCCAGCGTCGCAGCACGACGGCCTGGGGCTGGCTGTCTGGATGGTGGGGCTTGACTTTATTCAGATCTGTCTATTCAGATCTGTCTTGCGTATTAACTACTTAGACGGTAATTCTGAGTCGGGGCTCAGTCACCAATGCGGTTAAGGGCTCGGGGTGTTGACAGTGTTGGTGAGTTCTATCTCTGTCTCTCTCAATTGCTTTCCTTCACGGGGCTTGAGAAGGGTTGAGCCCCGCTGGGTCTCTGTCTCTCTCTCTCTCTAAGATGCTTGGGGCAACCACATGTTCTCAAATGCGGCAGGGATTTAGCTCTGCTGTGGAATGCTCAATGCCTGTGCATACGGGGAATTGCGGTGACCTGAGCTTGCCATTCTGAACAGGACATGGCTGCCCTGAAGCCCTCAGAATCCATGCCTGGAGAAGTATAGGCGGGCGCCGCCGCCTGTTTCGTGCAGGGGCGCTTTGTTCTCTACGCGTTTGGGTGTTGAAGGTTTCGGTTTTCGCTTTTGGGTGTAGGGTCAGGGTTTGGGCGCCTACTTTACGAGCTGGAGGAAGCCTTGATTGGTACCCCATAGCTGACAGTACGCGAGCTGGTGTGTCTCCTTTGCTTCGCGAACCTCGCGGACTGGCATATCCAAGTCCAAGCTTTGACACGCATACAGACACACAGACTCTTTCACTCACATAGGATCTGCACGCATAATGCGTGATACTGGACATTGCCATCGCCATAGCAGGACTCGGGCTAGTGCAGGCGGAGTTGCGCACTAGCGCCAGAAGCGGTACTAACCTGGTAGTAGTTGTCGCGGAGATGGCGCAACACAAGAACAGTCAGCACTCCAGGCATTACCGCGGGATGAAAAGTACAAGCATACCAACAATCCTTCTTGGCATGCGAATCATGTCTGCTACTATCAGCATCATCGTCGTGATCATCACGACCATCATCCTTATGACTCTTGCGACCATTGCTGCCGTCAGCCCCATCGCCAGCATGGAGGCACCATCACCACCATCACTCGCACCACCAGCACTAGCACCGTCACTGCTACAACGCACCTGACAGTCGTCCCTCATCATTTCCAACGCCACCAATGCTGTTTGTCATCCTTCTCGGCCTTCTCGCCTCGCACTCCCCAGAGAAAGAAGAAAAAGTGTTTTTATTCAGCAGCAGAACAGAGAACACCAAAGCTCCAAAACCGAGTCCTAGACCCTGTCTGGCTTCCAACCTGGCCTTAATCCACAAAGCTGCCACAGTGAGCAGCGCTACAAGCTCCGGCGTGTGCCGGATGTTCGGACGGCCGCGGCGGAGCGATGCTGGTGCCATGGCTGATATAGGTCACAGATATTAGGGGTGCTACGCCTGTGACGGACTGTAAGACTGACTGCATTCTGCATGCTACCATTAGAAGTCAGGGCTGCAACTATCCAAGAGATCTCCGGACTTTTGGTCTCGCTTTTAGGGCTGGGTTCTGGGCTTCGCTTTGGGGCACATGCCTTCATGTTGATGTTTTGAAGGACTTCAGCTGTTCGATGGCCGGGGTGGGTCACATCGGGGCTGCGGGGCGGGGGGAAAGGCTGCAGAGCCTGCCCCATCGGACGAAAACATCTCTGAACAGGAGGCATGCCCAAGCAAAACTGCGTTGAGCATCGAGCATTTCGGAACTATCCTTAGTGGCTAGACGTCGTCGGAGTAACCCGAATTTGCCAAACCAACCCCATGCCGTCCTTTGGCCAAATGAAAGCCGTTTCAAGGCCTGATAACTCCACCAACACGAGCCAGCCACAACAAAGGAAAAGCACACGTACCAAAGCACAATCCTTCTGTGAAGCCTCATGTCTTTGTGGTTTGGGGTGGCCCTCAAGCCAGAAACTCTGATATCGCAGACCCTAATTAGCCAAAATGCACCCTAACTCCCAAACACCTTATGCCCCGCGCTTGGGAATGCCCCCCCAATAGGACAACAACGCACGAAGGAAAAGTAATACTTCCTCTCATGGCTTCCGAAGTACCAAGGCATTTGTAGTGTACGACACACCTTCGAATCATTAAGGCCCTGAAAGTACCCAGCTCCGAAACGGCCTCGCCGTAGCCGCCCAGAACAGAACCTCCGAGACGCAGAACGGCACCAGCCTGTTGCTGATCTGTCTGGTGCTTAGTAGGGAAGGGGGGAATGGATCCCTATGATAGTCCCTTAAGATCCCTTATAGTAGTCCCTATAACCCACGCCCCCAATCCCTACTAAGCACCAGACAGTCATGGGATTGACATGGGGGTTTCCGAAAATAGGGGACCCTAATGTAGTACTCTAAATAGTAGGATCCTTATTCTAAGGACCCCAAAATAATACCCACCATTTTCGGAACCGGGTTGAAAGGCTTGCAATGGCTTAGTGTTTGCATTCCGCAAGATGTTGATCCCTTGAACTCTATATTAGGTTTAGAATAAGTTTAGAAGTCGAAATGACTATCGGATTGCTTGCCTCCCACTTCGCGCCATCTTGCGGTTTAGGGCTTACGGATTATGCAAAAAATCCGCACCCCTCCCTGCTTTCAAGTCTGAGCACCAAAGTATCGCCCTTAGAATCTGGAAACTGCCTTGGGTGTTTCCAGCACCTCGGGTTTTTCCTGCTGAGAACTGTAGACCCTGAAGTAGACCATCACAGGTCAAACTGTGGATTAGCTCAGGGCTCTTTTACGGTGTTTGTTGCAAGATCTCATGATGCAGCTACATTGATAACAGAAGACATACATATTGAAGGACCCATGAACCCAAAGTGGTGTAGACAAGCATCATCAAGCACAAGAAAAGAAGGCATGTCATCAAACAACAAAGGAATGCAACAAGCTACACCTGCAACAGTGGTTCGTTTCAGATATATGCATGTGCTTACGAGCACTTGGGCCTTCAATCTGTGCGTCACCTCTTTTCGTCTCAGGCGGCGAAACCGCAACTATGACGCCCCAAACTCTGCAACCAGAACTCCAAAGGTCCCGAAACCCACCGCAGACCAACACAAAGCTAAGTAAGGGACACCAAGTATGCGACCAGGACCAGGGCAAATTCTCCTGAGTGTTGCCAATCATGGTGCAGCAGTCTTTGCAAGCTAGATCACGAGTACCTATACCCAAAAGCGCACAACACAGCAGAAGGTAGGGCGGAGTAGCATGTATACATATATGCACATATATATATATATACATATGTATGTATGTACGTATATGTGTATACATAAGCATATACATACATACATACATACATACATACATACATACATACCTACGTACGTACATACATACATACATACATACATACATATATATATTATATATGTATATGTATATATATATATATATTGTTTCTGAGTGCGTTATTTCTGTATATATATATATATACATATCTTTATGTCTTCTGCAGTCCAGCAGGCAAGCTTGGGTGCTGGGGTATCAGGCCACATGACGTGGCAAAACGCTTCGAAAAGGGTAGCCGAGTAAAGAAACATGTTCTGCTTAGACGTCCTGGGTACATCAATGCAAGCCATGCCCGACAGACGTCTGGAACCTCGAGCCTCATGTGTTATGACTTCGACGTTGAAATAGAGTTCAGGGTGTACTACTCATCTTTCATCTGGCGTTGAGATGAGGATGTTCGAGTTGCTACATACCTTTAGTTCGATGTTGGATTCGGTTGTTGGGTCCTCGCTCACGGATTATGGAGTTTGCTGCTGCAAATCATTAAGGCTTTGGGGCTGTTTGTCATGGAGTTAGGGGTTGGCAGATTGGCGGATATTGCGAATGGTTCAGGCTTGAGGTTCCTACCATTAGTGCCCATTGCATCGATGCCCACAACCATGAGCATACTTTGCTTTGCACTCGTATCCTATACACCTCCACTATTTCAGGCATCCGCCCACTGCTGGGCCGCAGCGTTCGGGGCTCGTGGTCTACGAAAGCTTACGGTCAGCTTCAGAGTTTAGAGTCCTGAGTTTTCCAGCTGAATCTTGCTGCGACTCTGACAGCATCCATCCGATAGCCAGAAGACCCGGAGAGCACCAGGACATCCCTGACTCGCTGTACTAAGTCTAAGGTCCCCCCTGAGCACCGCGCTTTATCTCGTCGGCAGGGGCAGCCACGAGGATCTTCCTTGTGGAGAACTGATTGGATTGAAGGAAGCTCAACCCCACGAAAGGTTCTCGGAGGCTTGAGTGCTCGTGCTTAAGTTCTAGGGTTTCCACTCTCACTTCGGCACAGGGGAGGAATACATCACGTCGACAGGTCTGGTAAGTGCAAAATAATCACGCCAGCCTATCCTCATCGCTGACATTGACCCATCTAACACGCGAAACATCAAATCGGCCAGACCAGGCTAAGCTCCGATTCCAGGTCTTCCACACGGCTTTCACTCGACCCACACCAAACCCTGGCGAAGCAACCGCCAATGGAAATTCATAGCGCTCTTAAGGGTTTGAGGTTTCTGGATCTGCAGAGCCTTCCTGACCCTTGCGTTTAGAGCCCAAGCAGGCCATCCAATCCAAAGCCATGGCACCCCGAAGCTCCACCTACTTGCCTGGGGTTGATGGCTATGGACTCAAAATTTAGAACTTCAAGTGTTTAGACTTTTTGATGTCGGGTGCACCCCAAGGTCCAACAAGGCCAAGTCACTGAGCTGCATGCGCTGCTACAACCTGGCAAAGGCACGGGGGATCTGGGGAAAACCTGCCGTTAAACTGCGAGCAGCAAGATGCAATCCCTGCAATTGAAGTCTGGCCGAGCAGGCTAGCTATCGGTTTGTCTGGGTCCAAATGAAATTATACAATCAAAATAGGTCTGGGGTTATGCTTTAGGCCTACTTCTAAAGGGGGTCTCAATGGATCCTAGCTGTTTTCCTCGAAATGATGCAATCCCCAAATTTCTCAAACTTTGGAATTCGTTTACCTGTCCTCTCTGAAGTAATCTACAACCCCAAACTTTCAAGCCCCAAGGACCGAACCACCAAAGCCCAAAACCCAAGCTGTAAAGCCCTAAAGCCCTACCCCTGAACACCTCAAGCCCTACACAACTCTATGGAGAAGCCTTAATAATTAGAATAGGGTTTTGGGCCCATTACACTATGATTATAATACAGAACCAAAAAAATAGTATTGGTAATTCTTAAGTCCCCTATAACTACCCCGCCCAAACCTGAAGACCTCAAACGGCCCTCAGCCGAGAGGTCGCCAGCAAGTTGCGCAAAAAACAGCTCCCAACATGTTCAAAAGGACTTTTGACGCAAGCTTCAGGGTTCCAGAAGGTTCTGTGTAGATGTTCTAGATAAGCGCCTCATCGGGTCTACAAAGTAAGCTGGGTACAGGCGCCTGCATCTTTGGACTAGGCTTTTTGTCTGTACATGTACTAAGTGGGAAATGCCAGGGAATGCAATAGAGTGAAGGGTATGGAGTCAAGGGTATTGAGGTCTATCTTGACCAGAAACGACGAAACTGCATGAGTCAAAAAAATAATCTGCACTCAACCTGACCTGCAAACATCAGAACCCGATACTATACCCTCCACATCCCCTTAAACTCTGCACGGTCATACAGGCCCAAACCGTATCAATCATCAAAAGTTCACGAACCCTGCAGCGCCCGAGGCTTGAACCCGCTCACGCAGGGACCGTCTAGTCGGAACGTGCGAGAACCTCGGGGTCAACTCCAGAAGGAGCCACGGATCTTCGAATGTTCGCCAGAGGCAGCCAAAGAGTTTGGGACGCTAAGCCTGAAGCGTCTTGACCGTGCTAGCACTACTCAATACAATATAATATAACATAATATAATATAGTATAGTACAATATAATATACTACTCAGGACAAAAGCCATGGTGAAGAGCAGGGCACGGACTTGGGTGGTCCAGCCCTTTTTCAGATGTTCGGCAGCAGGCTTGGTAGAACCTGTGAGATGAAAGTGCTACTCTCACACGCACGAGCAAAGACTGGAGAAAACCCCACAGGTGTTGAGAAGTAACGGCTGTCGGCTGTCGCGGTAGAGAGAGTTTCGGAGTACGGCACGATGCGGGGAGATGTGTGGTGGATCTCAGCGAGAAGCAAGCAAGTGAAGCTATCAATAAGAAAACGGTTTTTTTTGAATTAAGATAAAAAAAGAGTACCATCCCGAGAATACTGAAAGGCGGGAATCCAAACAGATCCTTAGAACCAACGACCAACAGCGACCCAACGTCCCCATAAGATGACGACTATGAACCCTTTTGCGTCCAGAGCCCTAACCCAATCGCCAACCCGAAAGCAATCCTCCGTAATCACGAAACACTAAACCGCAGGCAAGATGCCAGGGTTCATCGCCGAGCACCTGTGGTAAGCACTTGATCACTAGCTCTGGGGGAGGACCTTCTCAGAAAAGCGACAATACTGCGTTGGTTTTTGTTTCCCACCCGCTTTGCTGACGAGGTGTTGCAAGCAAGCAAGCGGACGAAGTCCCGTCGGACGAGCCTCAGCCCTTAAGCTGACAAAAACATGCTGTAATTCGGAGAGCATGCTAGGATAAAAGCTGGAAGCCAGGTGTTGGGTTTAGGGTTCGGGGTGTAGGGCTGAGGCCAGATCTCTTGCCCAAATTGAGGAGGGGATGTTGATGCTCTGGGCTGGCCTCTAATGCTCTGCGACGGTCCCGTAGCTGTGGGATTTGGGAGGGTAGTTGTTTGTGTCTGGGGCGTGCCAGAGGCCGGGAATGTTGGGTTAGGGTATCTCGCAGAACCACGTGGACATTCCCTGATTCTCATCCCACGTGCTAACATCCAAAGATCCTACAAGTACGACAGGGGCCTTATAGTCATCGGAATAGGGGTTCTCTTGTAAAAGTGTATACGGTCTTTTGGGGGGTACGAATTCAAAAGATATCTGGGCTTCAAAAGTAGCTCTGCGCCTCGATGCCGGGCATTTTCTCTGGAAGGCTGTCTGGCCTTGGCTCCGAACACGTCTGCCCACAGTATAGTGAAAGGGCCTTAATAGTTTTCAATAGGGTTTTGAGCCCATTCTACCATAATTACAATAAGGAACCCCTAAAATAATGTAGATAATTATTAAAGCCCCCATATTATACCACAACATCATGTTACATCACGTTAACATACTTAAAATGTACATATACTACATACTGTGTCCACAACCATTGTGCATTCTAAAACCATAACCCTATGAACAGGAACGCACCCCGGCCTCGGAAATCTGTACCTCCAGGATCTAAGGCTTTTTCGAATGACCCTTCGAGATCTAAGGTTTGGGGCTTTAGGTTCAGGGTTTAAGGGTGTAGGGTTGGGGGCTTTGGGTTCAAGGGAAAAGCCGCTCCCATGAAGGTGGGTAAGAATGCCTAAATTCACCTACTGTTCCCGGAGTCTCTAAAGCCCAGCACCCACAAACGCCGACGGAGCTGTGGGTCACGATCTGTGGAACAGGCGACAATATCAGGGCTGGGAAAGTAGCGGCTGCGGGACAACAAAATGGGCCCCAAGCCGCAGGCCTAGCCCCAAACCCACTCTCAGCCCCTGAGACCCAGAATCAGAATTCTGTCTTATGTAGCCCCTGCATTCGCGAATAAACAAGATGAGTGATTCCTAAGGCATTCCGACGGCACAGAATGCCACAGACAACAGTGTACGAAACGAAAAATGACTCCTAAGAACCAAGTCACATCACAGAGTCCAAGGGCACACCACTCACAACCTCCGAACGAAAGTGTGCCGCGAAGCCAAAAGCCAACAGTAAAGCCCTTAAGCCCTCCAAGTCACGAGTGGCTTGGATGCAAAATCCTTCCCGAATCTCATTAAAAAAGGCACTTCGACAAGGCACCGCGGAAGCTATGCAATCCAAGAGAAGCACCAAAAAGAGTCAGGCAGCTCACGGCACTGTAATTTCAACAGGCTTCCTCAACCCTCAGCAAACAGCAAAGAAGTTCCTGAACCCTTCATGAACAGCCACAAGAAGCTCCTCGACCCTTATCGCCTTGAGGCACCACAGAAGCTGCCCTCAACCCTTATGAAAAGAGCTATCAAACCTTGCGAAACCCAAGAAGAGCCAGAGCCCCAAGCCCGAAACTCTAAATCCTAAAGCCTTCAAAGCCTCAGAGCCTCTAAGCCCTGAAGCCTATCACAGCCCTAAAAAGGCCTTAGGGGGGCTCCTTTAAAGCCCTATACATCCAAGAAGAGCCCGGCAGCTCATGGTCCGGAGGTGCCGGGGGCGGCGGAGGAACTCCCTGGAGAAAACTCTCAGATTTTCAGAAGGAAACGCTGGCTTCTTCTTGTTGGGCTTACGGTTTAGGGTTTGGGGGGGCTTATCGGGGCTTTTACGGTTTAGGGTTTAGGGGGGAGAGGAGGGTTACTTGTTGGGCTTACGGTTTAGGGTTTAGGGGGGGGAGAGGAGGGTTACTTCCCTGGACAGAAACTCCCAGGTCAGGTCTTAACAGAAGGAAACTCGGGCTTCTTCTTGGGCTTACGGTTTAGGGTTTAGGGGGGTGGGAGAGGAGGGTTTGTTGGGTTTACGGTTTAGGGTTTGGGGGGAGGAGGGTTAACAGGGCTTATCGGGGTTTTGAGGGCGGTTCCGTAGAGCTCTCTTGCTCCGTGTTGCAGTCGCGGGGAGACATCCAAGGGGTTCGACATTGCAAAAAGCTTGGTGGAGCTGTTTTGTAAGCAGGTATTCCGTGGTTTGCACGTACCTTAAGCAGTCATGACCTGCCTTCTTGCGGGGCCTCTTTTGCTATGGCTCCGGGCTTTGATGTGCCTGGCTCTAAGGAAACCTTACGGTTGAAGCTCCGGGGTTTCTGCCTGAGGCTAAACAGGTTTAGGCTTTCGTGGTTTGGGGTTTTGGGGTGCTGGTTTGGAGTCTCTCCCGTGAATGGCAGACCCATGGGACGACGGAGGCCAACCCACGGGTTGCCGGGGATGTAGGAGGCTGGCAGATCTGGAGAAGTAAGTGAATCCGATCACGCAACAGATTCTACGAACGAGGCAGGCGGGAGTGATTTTAGGGATCGCGGTTTGGCACATGCGAGGTGTTCCGACTCTCGCACTCGCGTCCGGGTTTAGGTTTAAAAAGGGCTTCGGCGCAAAACTCACCCGAAGCCCTCGACTGCCGCCGAGCCAAAGGGCCACAGCCCAAACCGTCTTGAACAGCTGAGCACTACCCTGATCCTAACCAATAACATATCCAGTTCCAAATCAAGGTCAACTGACATCGCCAAGCCGATGATTACATGAATATACCACCACCCCAACGGCTCCAACGCTCCTACCTCACAAACCTGCAAAACTCTGAAGGGAATGCACGCCAAGGGGCCCGTGGGAGGACCGGCGGGGCTGGCCTCGGCCAAGGGCTTCTTGGCTTGGTTTTGGAATGTTCGTGCGGGGTTCCCTTGTAGGTGTAAGGGTCTTTGCGACAAGGATTCCGTTACGTAATTAGGATCGCTTTGTCAAGCCTCCTCTTAAACGGTTTGTACGGTGTACTAGAATGCTTGCTGTAAGGGTGTACTACAAGTGCCTGAAAAAGAAGAAGGGGATTTTGAAGGTACATACACAGGTAGGGAAAACTGTTGCTGGATAATCTAGCCCAGCTAGTCTGGGACGCCAACATTTCTTGCGATAGGCACTGCATACTCGTGGTAGATCAAACGGCAGCTGGTGTAAATGTCTGATTCACTCTACGCTGAACATAATATGGCAGATGGTCCTGACTCTTGACGAAATTCTCCTTTCCAAGGCTGAAAATCCATGCTCTGGCTCCTTCGTTCGTTCTCCATGCTGTAGTTTCTCTTCGAAGGCTTTCAAGCGGCTAGGGGTCTTCGTTCTCTCGGTGAAGCCCGCAGCACCTACAGATTCTCTGCGGCAGCCAAAGGAACCCTCCTAGTGAATTCCTTAAATAGCTAGCTTCATAGTCCCCACCACAACCAGAGCGGGCACGGGCTCGGTTTTCCCATTCTGATTCCACGCAACAACTCCCAGTGCCTTGGCGAACAGGTCTACAGGTCTTCCCGAGCGAGGCGCGTGCTTCCTGGATATGACGTCATTCGAAACCTCCAAGATATCATATTTACTTGTGGCATTTTCGCGGGCCTGTTGTGGGCCAAGGGAAAGCCCACAGACTCAACCCCTTCATGTCCCCTGAACCCCCTGCAAGTTAAGCTTACGCCCAAGCCAGACCCCGTTACGTATACACTTGTTACATAATTCTAATTCTAATCACCCTCCAAAAACCCACAGCCTACACCCCAAACCCTCAGATCCCATCACCGCAAACGGCCGAAACCCTGAAACCCTTGTACCTCCCCCGAAATGTGGACCTCTTTATTACTAAAGCCTCTGGCGCGGCGTCGGGGGCCTGGTGAAACGAAGGGGAAGTCTTGGACTCGTCCCCTTCTCGGCTTCCTACAAAATAGGTCTCCTCTCCGCGGGTTGGGGGTTCTCGGGGGGGGGGGGGGGGGGAGGGTTCCGGGGTTAAGGAGTGAAGGGTTTTAACTACATCGAGGGTCTCCTTGGGCTCACCCGCTACGGGGCTTCTGGGATCTATGTCAGGCGGGGCGTCGGGGGATAACGTAGGGTTCTCCTCTACATACATGGTCTATTTCTTGCTTAGAGGGGGCCGTTGTGGGATCTAGAGTAAGGGTGCCTGTGGCTTCACTTACCATATTCAAGGCTTTATCCTTGAGTTTCAAGGGGATAGCCGACTTCGCTTGCCATACGCTTGCGTTTACAGGTCGGGGGCTTCAAGAGTTGGTTGGCGCTGCAGAGTCGCAGCAATGCAATTGGGGCCCCAACAACCCTTAATGTAGGGCCTAAATAAGTAGAATAGGGTCTCGGGGTATATTATACTATAATTGTAGTAAGGAACCCCTGAAATAAGATAGGTCACCATTAAGGCGCCTATATCGTGTGCACCCGACGAGTGCAGAGAGGAGATGGCTTGCGACAGTGACATTCTCTTTGACTGCAACAAACTCACGGGCCGGAGGTAAGCAAAGTGTCTGTTGCGGTTTAGGGTTTAGGGTTTGGGGTTTAGGTTTACGTAGGGTTTAGGGTTTAGGCTGCTTCCTAAGCGTAAGGAACGAGTCTGCTGGTGTTGCAGTTTACACTCTCACAACTCGGACTAGCCAGGAGGTCTATCAGGTGCAAGTGTTGGAGTTTAAGTTTAAGGTTTAGAGTGAGTGTAGCATGCCCTTTCGCATGACAGTTGGGCTTTGTGATTAACCCGACAGGCGAACTTTGACAAGTTGTAGGCAAGGAATCCTCGCAGAAATGCCACTGCGGGCTTGACAAATCATGCTCACAGATGGAAAAACTTGGACCCTGGGAAACAGAGTCTCTGCAAAAAACTAAAGACAGTTGACCGGTTTGCGCTTGCTTGAAATACCTTCTCTTTCGTGTTCATAGTATCCTGTTATTGTCCCTTCGGCCCAACTCCAGCATTCAACCTGTTGAGAGCAAGCCCGGGTCAGAACCTCCGAGGCCCGTAGCAGCCAGAAAGTCTCTCGAACACGCAGCGTGGCGAAGCCATTGGCAACAAGGTGCCGGCTGGTCATGCACATGGGAAGTTATCAGATAAGACAAGTTTTGCATGTTCCAGCAAAACTAAGCCAGAAACCGAACAACACCAAGAAAAAAGGAGTTACTTCAGTCATGACAGGACTACGAATACACTTACTGCGACTCAGCTCTTCAAGCTCTTCTATGCCTCCCCTCTAGGCTTGCATGACGGCTTTTCCGGCACCAGCCGGAACGGGGTTAGTCTAGGGGCCTTGACAATTTTAATTAGAATAGGGTGGTGGGGAATGCTACAAAATTCTCGTAAAGAAAGCTGTGAACTGCACAGGCTTCGGTACTGCTAAGCCGTACCTGCGCTTGGAATTTAAGATCCCGTCGTAAAATGTGTTTCGCGCCCAGGGTGCCACATGATCCTCAAGAAATCTAGCAGCTTCCTACAGCCCCGTAAGGCCCCAATACTAAACCCGCATAGTAAACCCACCAGAAACCCTCTTGTAATTAAGGCCCCCCAAACAAGAACCCTTACAAAACCCAATATAACACAACACTCTTACAAACCCCTGCTGCAAAAAGAACGGCTGGGGAGCTACAGGTGCATTTCGATGCAGAGTTTCACAGCTTTAAGCCTTTCGGGTTTTGGAGCTTCGTTTTTTGCAAGGCTTAGGGCCAGGGGTGGGGCTGCTTCAGCGATTGTTCGTTCTGGCAACTTCCCATACAAGGAGGGCTTCTCCATTCAGAGACGAGAGGGTCACCCTAACCCTCCTGCGCGGGACCTGTAGACCTCAGGGTAGGCAATGAATGGCTCGACTGTAGGACCTTGGCACTGAAGAGGTCGTTCCTCATCCTCAGCTCAAATCCGTTTCGGTGCCGAAGCTGAGACAGTTTAGGGCTTGAGGACACCCACCTTATAGGGCTTAGACAGGTTTTCACTTTCAGGGGCCTAGCTGACAACACCACTTTCTCGTAGTAAAATAAAGAAGACAATCAGAGTTATATCAAGCCCCTTCCTAAACCCCAAACCCTAAACCCTACCCTAGATTGCAGCGGAGCCTCAAGTTCCCCAACTTGTCCTCCAAGCTCTTGGAGTCGAACTTCGACTGAATCCGCTGCTTCAAGATCTCGTTCTTCACCTGGTTTTTGTGTGGGGTTTGGGGGTCAGGGTCCAGTTTTTGGATGTGGGGCCTCAGTTTTGGGGCTTTGGTTGTCGGGGTTTGGGGCTTGGGGTGTAGGGCCGGGGTATTGTCTAGGCTGTCATCAGCCTTGGATACGCGGTTGCTTCATGTCTCGAGAGCCTGGTGCAAGAACATCTTCCAGCACCCGGAATGAGATCATAGCACAGAAGACTTCTGCTGATGTGAAAGCTGGTTCAGTCGGCAATGCTTCGACACGTCATCACGCGCGTGCCACGGTTGCATGTGTGCTGCACTCTGAACTCTGAACCGTCTCTACCGAAACCCCAAGACCCATTGAAACCATAACCCAAGTTTTGTGAGAGAATAATGGCAATCGTTGCCGATGATACGGGCCTTTATGTATGTAACAAAGCAACAATGCAAGCAACATAATAAACCATGCAACATCCCCTAAACCCCTATGAAGCCCTCGATTCAGTCCTTCTTACAGCTTAAAAGCTTGCACGACACTGATTACTTGGTGCTTCACCATAAGATCACACAAAACACCTTGCAGGAGCTTCACAAAGTCCTGGGCTCCAGAATGGTAAGAACCGCGACAATGTAAGAACTGTGAGATCTAGTTGAAATAAGGCCATAGTAGCAACAACCCCAAACCCAAAACCCTATAAACCCTAAATAGTGACATGGGAGTTTCCGAAAACATAGGGGGTACCTTATTTTGGGGTCCTTATAATACGGATCCTACTATTTCGGGTACTATATTAGGGCCCCCTATTTTCGGAAACCCCCACGGGGTTTCAGAAAATAGGGACCCTAATATAGTAGCCTAAATAGTAGGATCCTTATTCTAAGGACCCCCCAACATAGGGTACCCCGAATTTTCGGAAACTCCCACCCCAAAACCTAAACCCAAAACCCCAAAACCCCAAACCCTAAACCCTATAAGCCCTAATTAGTGATACCAGTACCTTTTTCTGGGCTCCCGGCCTGCTCTCTGGCCTTGTAAGCCTCGGCCTGGGCTGCTCTTCGAAGCTCCCACCTGCAGAGGGCCCCGGTAAAAGCGGGCCACGTTCCGGTGCCATGGGGTTTAGGATGTCGGGTTTAGGGGTTTAGGGTTTAGGGTTTGGGGTTTAGGGTTTGGGGTTTGGGGTTTAGGGTTTAGGGTTTAGGATGTAGGGTCTAGGATGGTTGAGGGCTTAGGTTTCAGAAGAGGCTCATAATGCTCATAGGCTGCTTATGAAGGGAATTGGGTGCCTTCTTGACGGCTATGTGAGCTAGTTTCGGATTTGATGGGCGCTATTCTATACGTCTTTCCACGGGTTGCGAAGGGCTTCCAGCGAGGCTTGCATTTGTCCCTGCAAGGGCTTTACAAAATCTGGAGTAACGCTTCTCACTTTATTTAAAGGTTCGACCATTTACGGTCTACTGCAAAGGTTGCACATTTACTCCAACTGCCATCAACCCCTTTGCGAGGGTTTGTAAGCGTTTGACTCAGGGATCTATGATCGTGGTTTGAAGGCTGCAGGTTTGAGTGTCTTCACAGAGATGTTTTCGGGCTTGGGAGATCGCAGTAAATGGGTGTTCAGGTTTAAGGCAGTTGAGGGGCTTTTGGGTGACGTATGGTTTTGATGTTCAGCGGTCTTCTTGACTCCAGGGTGGCAGGCCTGTTGACAATATCTGCAGGTCTCAGATGGCATCGGGCGATTTCATTTTTGAGGCTTAGGTTTGAAGGTCCCAGGCTTAGACTTTTCGTTGCAACCTGCATAGCTCAACCAGGGCCCAGAAGCCCAGGCAGGCCCCTCAGGAGCTAAAATGAAGGGTCAGCTAAGCTGCTGGATCTAGCCCAAAAGGAGCCACCCATGGTAAGTTTTACGCTTGGGGTGTTGAAAATGAAAAGAGCCAGGTGTACCTATGATGGGGTTCAGGCACGATCGGGCTGAAGGTCTCCGAGGTTTCTCGGATCTGTAGGGCTGGCATCGTTAGTACCATGTGGAGCATCGCTTTGCCTGCCAATGCTATTTGATGTTGACTTTCCTGCTATTGAAGGCGAACACTCGAAGCCCTAACCGCCCTAACCCGCGCTGCGACGCAGTGCAAGGCACATGCGCTGGCGCTCCGCATTGAGCTGATCGATCTTGTCGTCCTTGCGTTTGCGACGGGCACAGTGCAAATACACAGGCTGTGCGAAATAAACCTTGCGGAATTAAGCTGATGACCATTTTACTGGAAAAACTTAGCACCCTAGTTATGATACCATCAAGTGTAAACCTTAAAACCCCAAACACAACAAGCTCCAAACCCTGCAATAATTGGCAGGTCCTTCTTGCGGACCGCATCCGCGACAGACTCGCGCTCGAAGTCCTCACGCCTTCTCTGGCGCTCGACGTTAATCTCCTGTTGCAGCGGGGTTCAGATTTCAGGCTTGAAGGGTCTATAGATTTCGAGGCTTCAGGGTTTCGGGACCTGAACCCACCCAGAAAAAAGCACACAGCTCCTTGTTCTTGGCGCGCAGGCCGTCCAACTCGCGCTTGAAGTCCAGGTATCGCTCCTGGGATCATTTGGGAGGGCTTCCGTAAGTATGTACTGCAAGTAAGGCGTTGAAAGGAGACTGATTGTCTGGCTGTGGGGTTTCGGTGCTCACACTCGGACACTCTAGGCGAGGCCTTTCTAGAAAATGTTGTGTTCGGCTTGACTGGCAGAGAAGCAGTTTGTACTTAAGCAGACCTCGAACCACTCGCTGCGGAGTTTAGGGGTTAGGGTTTCAGGTAGATTAGGGTTTGGAACGAAACTTTGCTTGGTTCCTGGTTCCTGGGTGTAGGGCCCTGCTACAAGATCGACTTGACAGTCTAAGGACGATCTATATTTCAGCTTCTTGGGCGAGCTTCTAACGGCTCTTGCTCCCACCACCCCTAAAAGAAAACACAGCGAAATTTCACAAAAAAGCATGGCGAGTGGGTTACAACCCTTTTGTTGAAGGGCATTTCCGACGAGACCAGGAAAAGTCGAGCCACAGGAATTTCTTTCTGGAACCAAACCCCCCACACCCCCCCATGATAGAAGCCTTGAGCACCCTTCAAGAACCCTTGTACAACTCCAACAAAGCCCAAGAAAAAGTTTCTGAAACCCTTGAACCCTTAACACTTGACACAGAATCCCCGCTGAGGGAGGGTGCCTTCCTATGCTGAAAGGGACCAAGGCTCCTTCTTGGCCTCGTGCTCCATGAGCCGATACTCAGTCTCCTGCCGACGAGGCTTTTTTTTGGTGGGCTTCGGCCTCCCTTCCGTTGTGATTTTGAGGATTTTTGGGGTGCTAGAAGTCCTTACAGGTTTAAGGTTGGGTTTTGGGTTCAGGCTAGCACTTCGAGTTGTGTTCTGGATAGGCTTTGAGGAGAGATGCGCTTCAAGAGAAGCATTGGGGCAAGCAGAAGTATCACAATGACCGGCCTTATTGCAGGGTTCTGGAATCCGAACCTGCGACTAAACTTAGCCTACGCTGAGCACTCGGCTTTGGGATCCCATGTCTGGGACTGTAAGCTTAGGTTGTAGATGAAAGAAACGGAGGTGAGGGTGAGAGATGACGAAAAATGCGGGGGTGGGGGGTACGATTTGACACAGCACACCCGCATCACCTCTTGAATCACACTTGTCTGCCTGCGGCTTCTCTGCAGTGAAGCCCCAATACAGAATCAAGGATAGGGGCTTCTGGTTAAAAAACATACTACGGTCATCTTGATTTTTGATTTGCCTAACTTCGAGGAAGTAGGGAAGACTGATCTTCCAGCTGTGGTGTCGAGGTTTCTTATATCCTCCATTGCGTCTCCGCGGTTGGCCATGCACTTGGGGGTGAAGACCAAGCTTAGGAAGGAAGCAAATCAAACAAAAGACTTTATGAAGCCTTCATAGCTAGACTAGGGTTTGGGGGTTTCTTGGCTACACTTGTATTCCTGAGGAGAAATCTAAGTAATAGCACTACTGTCACTACTGTTGATCCCGAGGGCTCTATTGTAGAGGTCTAAAAGCTCCAGAGATCTAAACCCTAAACCCCAAAACCCTGAACCCCTAAACCCCTACTCGCAGCTCCTCCTGCTGGTCCAGGATGGCCATTCTGCGATCTTCGGCTCGGCGCATCGCCTCTTCCTTGATGACCTGGCAATAGCTTTCTCCTTGTACTCTGGAAGAGAACACAAAACCTGAAACAGAGGAGTTGTGTAAATTCTTAGGGCTGGAGGCTTCGAGAAACCTTCGGCATGCTTAGGGCCGTGCGACTCCGGGTTTCACGCTTCCTTGACTTGTTGCTAAGCCCTGCTTCTGCGTTGAGGGGGCCTCCCGGGCCAAGGAGCACAGGAGCCGACCGGTGTGTCATGTTGGCCGACATCGAAAAAAGTCTAGAAACACCATACTGTAGTTCAGGGTGATGAGACGAACACTGGCAAGCTTTACATTGCTTAGAGCTTCGCTCGAAATAAGGACTTGCAACCCTCAAAGACTCAGTTTATCCCAGCTCTCCCTCCGTCTCGTTGTCCGTCCCTAGCTTCTGAGAGGGTCCCGTCACTCTCGCACCTGGCGTTTCATCATCGTCTGGAAGGACCTGTCAGGATGGCCAACAGGATCAACCTATAGTCTCCATTGTAGTTGCTTTTTTTGGTTTAACCAGTTATATATTAAGGAATGTATAAGGTATCCCCAAAAGGGAACTACAATGGAAACTTTTGGAAGAGCTCTTTCAATCCAGCCCTTTCCCACGTTGCAAGACCTGGCAGAGTCTGCCTGGAATCCCGAAGTCAAGAGCACAGCATCCCCTCAAGTGGAGTGCTGGATATTTCCCGAATCGTAACAACCTCGAACCGGGGATTGAGACTTCGTAGTGGGAGCTGTAGCTTCGTCTGCATACATATAAACAGGAGATGAGCAGGTATGGTGCAGCGCTGCCAGGCCATGCTCTGGCGGACTTTTAACGCACCCGGCCGAAACTGAGCATAGAATGACAACGGCCGTTACAAACTACGAAAATCTACGTTGTAACATCATGCCAACCCAGCTTCTGCAACAAATAAAAGCAAAAACATGCGGTACGTAAGGGCAGAACAACATGAGAGCAGTGATGCCGCCAACAGTCACACTCGGAATACTAGCATGCAAGAAGCAGATCAGGGTCATTGTCCTTAGCATCATCGCCGTCATTCTCATCTGTGTGGGTAAGGGGGGGGGCGAGGGTTCCGCGTTTTTGTGCGAGAACGTCGACAGTTACGAGGATGATGACGCAGACGAGCACTATTCCTGTGACGGCTTGCTCGGATCTGTCGTGGGAGGGCACATACCATGGAGCGGGGGGGGGGGGCCACTGACGCGGCGACACGGGACCATGTACATATATAATTATATAAATATAGATATAAATAAATACATATATATATATATATATGTATGAGTACAATTAACATACATGTATCCATGACTCCCTCGGGCCAAGGAAGACCACAGAGAACCACACACAGCACAAACCAAAGCGTGCACCACTCAGATTGCTTCAGGACAAGATCCAGAAGTATGCAATACATCCCATGTTCTGCATACAACTTGCGCACTGCCCGGGAAGCCTCTTCGCGCTCTCCTCCTGCTTGATGGCCAAAGCTTGCATCAGCCTCTCCTCACGCGCGGCGTCATCCGCCTGCTTCTTCCTTGGGCAAAAGGGGTCTGAGCGTAATCGGCCCTGAACCCAGAGTTCCTCCCCGCTCGCTCAGCGAAGACTGGGCCAGCGCTCTACCAGTCTTAGTCTAGCAGCAGTATCCTAAACTGTATAAAATAGAACGCCTACAAGGGACACTGAGTTTGAAGATACCTTGTAAACCCTATACCAGTCACCCTGGCATCCAAAGCCCAACTCTAAGGGAGCCCTGAACTTCGCCTCCCAACCAGCCTCAAGCCTAAACCCTAAACCCAAGAGCCTTGCACGCTAGACCCTTAATCCAACCCCTAAAGTCTAAAAGCCCTTAAGCCGCCTAAACAAAGAGCCGCGAATCGCTGGAACCCTAAACGCCAGAACCCTATCAGCCTTTACACCTTTTCAGACCCCGACGCCGCTTAAGTAAAGCCCTAAGGCCCAAGAACCCGAAACACTAGGACCTTGAAACTAAACCCTGAGACTCGTAGATCCCCGGCCCAGACTAGAGCCCGAGCCCTAAATTAAATCCTGAGACCTTTTGCAACCCTGGAACCGGTCTTTCAGAAACCCTAAGCACTAAACCTTCTTGAGATTAAAACCCAAAGACACTTTCAGAAACACCAACCCGCAAGACCCCTGAAGACTAGCAAAACTACATCCTGAAGCCGCTCGAAAGGCCTCAGAACTCTAGAGCCCCAACTATCCTCTGTTCTACCCCAAATATCCACATTTATGCCAGAATGGCTGCATTCAAGGGGGCCTTGGGCGTTCCTGTCTTTGAGACACACCACTAAACCCTGTGTCTATGTGCGTATATATATATATATACATATTTGTATATAGGCATATATCTCTCTTCGATATGTTTCAGATCTTACATACACACACACACACACACATATATATATATATGTTATGTTTATAGATAAGTAGGTATATACCGTTCTATTCAGTTCAAGTCTCTCGAAGTCATCCCGGCGCTTCTGTTCCAGCTCTTGGTTCGCCTGACGTCCGGGCGTCTGCTCTTTCGGCCCTCGGGGCGTAGGACTTAGCGTACACCGGTACATGCAAAGTTAGTCCAATTCCCAGGTCCAGAACACGGCCTCAACCTCTCCCCTCAATGACAATTACTGGGGTTTCCGGTAAGGGGGCTGAGGTTGGCGCTTGAAGAGTCGAACCGGGATTTTCGTAAGCCTGCCTAGTGCTCCTTAGGAAGGAGCTTGGGAGCGTGGGTCTGGGAATCTATTTGGTCCGGCATCGCAGGCGTTGCAAGATGAGACGAGACTGAACAGTACGGTGCGTTCGGTGCGAGAGTTTACAGAGTGTACGGCGAAGCGAGTAAAGAACAAAGCCCTGATATATGTGTATATATACACACATTATATATATATATATATGTTTATTTATATATTGTAGTCTACTCAGTTGTTTAACTGCCTCCAAGGCGTGCAACAGGTTAAGGGCATCCAAATAGCCTGATAATCTCAGGTGAACCTCACCTCAAAAGCAGATGGGATTTTTGCCACAAAAACCGCCGCCAGCACACCCCAAGGAAACATTCACCAACGTTCCATACATACGCTCACCAAAACCCAGGTAAAAGGAAAAACCCTTCTCCGCAGACCCCTTCGCATTTCGGGGGATGCAGGCCTGAATGCTGTTGTAGATCCGCATGTCCCTCGCGTCCTTGCGCTCCCGTAGGAATTCCTGACACCAAGTTCAGGCTTTTGAAAGACAGTGCTCTTGTGTACATATCTGGACAAGGCCTACCAAGCCATAAGGGCTTATAGACGTATTTACTGTGGGGTTGCGGAGTCGTTCCAGCATCGCCTGATTTAGGGGAGCCTGGCTACACTATGCTACAATCAAAAGTTCCCACGTCTTCCAGATTTCCAACTTTAACGAGGTTCTGGCCTATGGTGCAAGCCGAGGATGCTTTCTGTAAGCACCTCTTGCCAGGAGGGCCCATCTTCTTGCCAAAACTAACCTCCAACCCGTTAAGTTTCTGCCGGAAGTTTCCTGAGGGTTTCGGAAACTGAGGCCCCTCACGTACACCAACAGCTTGGATCCTTATTACATTGAGGCACGGATAACCATTACAAGCCACAGCTAGTGATGAGAAACCCGATAAGACCTTCGACACCTGAAAAAAACCGTATAGCTGACGAACAGAAGACTGGTTATACGTAGTTCCAGAAAGCCCTGAGAAAACCAACGCCCTCGGAGTCCTGGAAAGACGCCTGTTTCTGGGCCATGAGGTCCGTCCTGGGGTTTGCTGCTCACGGCTCTACCGCGTAAGGCTTGCTTCTTATGGCTCTTGGCTCGCAGGGCTTCCGAAACCCGGGGAGTTTTCGGATCTTTGCTCATAACAACCGATGGGGTACCTGGCTGAGACATCGGAAGGATCGTCAGCGTCGCCATCGTGACTGGACGCTCGGCATCTTGTCTTACGACGGGAGAAAGTCGCTGTTCAGCCAGGATTGGGGTGAAGTATTGGCTGGGAAGTGTTGGCACCATGTTGCAGCAACATAACCTGTGACAGAGGATTGGGGTCAAGTCGTTGTTGGGAGGTGCCGGCGCCATGTTGAAGCAACCAAACCTGCCAGCCAGGATTGGGGTAAAACAGTTGTCCGGAGGTGGTGGCGCCGCTTTGAAGAAACCAAACCTGCAGACAGGATTGGGTGATTGGGGTAAAGTCGCTGTTGGGAGGTGTTGGCGCCATTGTGAAACAACCGAACCTCTCAGCGAGAATTGGGGCAAAGTCGTTGTTGGGAGGTGCTGGTGCCATGTTGAAGCACCCAAACCTGTCACAGAGGATTGGGGTAAACTCGTTTTTGGGAGGTGCTGGCGCCGTATTGAAAAAACCGTCAGCGAGGATTGTGGTAATGTCGCTGTGGGCAGGTGATGACGCCTTTTTTGTAGCAACCAAAGCTGTCAGCCAGGATGGGGGCAACCAAACCTGTGAGCCGGGAGTGGTGGGGTTAAGTCATTGTTGGAAGGGAGGTGCTGGCACCATCCTGAAGCGATTTGGAGTTGCTGGCGCCAGTTTGAAGCAACCGAATCCGTCAGCCGGGATGGGGGTGGGGAAAGGAAAAGTCGTTGTTGGGAGGTCCATTTTGTAGCAACCAAACCTGCCAGCCAGGATTGGGGTAAAGTCGTTGCTGGGAAGTGCTGGTGCCATTTAGAAGCAACTATCAGCCATGATTGGGTAAAGTGGGTGCTGGGAAGTGTTGAAGCGACCGAGCCTGTCAGCCAGGATTGGGGGAAGGTTGTTCTTGACGCGATGCAACCGTTTCGCTGCCCTTGGGGTGTATACGACCCCAAAACGCAAGCACACATGGGGACCTATGACCGCCTAAAACATCCAAAACACTCCGAGGGTGCCTAGTGATGTAGTGATCAGTGATGACTAAACGGCTGCGTGGAAACGGCAAAGAGTCCTGCGCTGATCTTGAGCCCTCATCTCATCCTTGCGTGCTTGAAGATCACGATACTCCTCCAAAGCACGGGGACTTCGTCGGGAAATGCGGTTGAGGTTTTGGTACGTTATCCCGACGGTGCCCATGCAAACCACAAATACGACACTCTTAGAACATACTTGTTGAACATCCAAACTGACTTCAAGCAATTCGCCCAATCAACAATTAAAGCAGATGGTCGTCAAGCTCAAAGATCTGGCTCTCGTGGGCTTTTGGCTGCGGCCGGAGTCTTCTCATTGGGCGGGCTACCATTGTGGTGTCGAAACAGCAGTGAGCTGATTAGCTGATTGTAGACAAAACTGAAGCAACTTGTAGGCAATAGATGAAAAGTACTTACACCTCCCTGAGAAGGTAAACTCCATCAGAGGGTTTTGGAAATCCTTGTAAAGTTGTAAGGGGAAGCACAACGCCCTCAAGACAAGTTTACTCAAATTTTGCTCAGAAAGCACACGGGCACATTAAGGCCACGGCAGCTTGGGTCCTGCTGACCTACAACGTATCACGAGCGGAAAATGCAAAACCCCGGGGTCCTGCTCTCGCTTTGCAGCCTTCTCCCTTTCAATCTCCCGCTTACGCTCGGCATCTCGAACTTGCCTCTCCTCGGCAGCGTCTTCGTGCTAACAGGGGGTTGTGTTCAGGCGTTGCTTGTAACTGGGGTTGCATGTTTTTCATTGTCTCCAAGGTCCGATTTGTTTTGGGAAGATTTTAGGGCGTGTATGAAGCATCAGGGCTTGGGCATGTTGGGGCTTGCTGTTGAATCAAGGCTTGTTGGGCTGGAGTGTTCGGTGTCGGTCACAAGGCGCAGTTTCTTCTCTGGCTGAAAATTTTGGACGTGGGGGCCGGGCATCTGGGTGCATCGGGCTACGGGTAAGTGGTTTAACAAGGCCATGTGCAAAATTGGGAGTATTGTGAATCCATAATCCCGAAAGCAACGAACAGCGACAGACAACCTTGGTTGCTTAGATTGTACCCTATTATGACCACATGAGTGGCTCCTTATATACCAAGTCATGACCTGGACCACCTCAGACAGCATTTTCAAAAATTCCAGCAAGATGGAACGGACATCTTCTCAGATCCTCCGTAGTCGGCATCACAAACTTGCGGACTCCTCCTCTACTAAGGGCCCTGATATCCTACGTAAGCCTTTTGCTGAACATAGGCTGCAGGGGTGCAGGCTTTGAAGGATGCAGAGGGGACCACTCAAGAAGACCAAGCGCCCCTAGGTTTGCACCAAAAAACTGAAACCAACCGAAACCCTCAACTGTCATGAGACCTACCGTAAACTCTAAACCGCAAAACGACTCCAGGGTGCGTAGGCTTCCTTCGACTTCTGGGCATCCAACTTCGCCTGTTAGAATTTGGGCCGCGGCTGTGCAGACTGAATGGACGTTCTTTGCAGTGTAAACCCCGGATTAAGTTAATGAGCGCCCCTCAACCAGCCAAAGATGATACCTGGTTAGTCTAGAATAATTAGACTAGGGATGTATCACTAACTATTCAGCCCCTTATCTTACCGATGCGGGTGTTGGATCGATGTAAACTTGATGAAAGTATTGACAGGGACTACTTGTGTCTGCCGGCGGTGTTTCTCTAGAATTGGGATGTCCACTTTCAAGGCCTTCAAGCTCATAAGCAACAGCATATATACATGCATATTTGTGCGTTAATGTATGCTGAAATGCATATGGGTGGTTGTCAAAATGAGGGTCCCTTCTTGGGGTACCCTAAATATTAGGTGCCGTATTATATTAGGGACCCAAAAAGGGACCATAATTTTGACAACCGCCCATATGTGCCTAGTCATGCTCCGATGGTTGCAGAAAGGCCTCTCAAGCGGGCCCCAAGTACAGTCATTCCTTTAGAACCTCTGTACGACTTTGGGCCCGGAGGTCAAGCCGCCACCTGCCCCAGGCCCCCACCAAAGGTAAGAAGCCCAACATAATCTCCACCTATAGTCTCCAATCTAGTTCCTTCTTGTGGTTTAACCAATGATATATTAAGGATTTTATAAGGTATCCCCAAAAAGGAACTACAATGGAGACTAATTATAGGTAATGCCCAAATGCCGAACTGTGGACGTGTTCCTAGAAAGACCCAAAAGCCCACAACCACCATGACCGAAGCAGCGGTGTTGAAACCCTTTCGGGCCAATCCACTTTGAAGTAGCGCCATAGTTAGAGGAAACTACAGGTGGGGGAGTTTAGGGTATATAGGATAGGGCTTCTATAGGGGTTCCACAAGGTTTATAGGCCTTCTAGAAGGCTCCTAGATCGGTAACTACCCACCTGAAAATGTCCTAGACATAGATTAGACTTTCATTGTGTACAGATTATAGAATGTCTCAGTGTTCCTTTGAAGACTATTGAGGCGCTGGTTTCCCGGCTCTTGGCAGCTTTCACCAAACCTCAGCCCCCTTAAAACTTCCGAAACGAATCCTAAGGTTCGATGGGCCGGAAGCTTTGGGCTCTGGGGCCTCAGGTCCCTCTGCCCTCAGAAAACCGCCATTAACCACTTCTCCCCCCCCCCCCCTAATCACACGGAGCTGAAGCCCCAAAAAACACAAAGAGCTTCAAAGCTCTGCACTCTTTGCTCTGAACCCTGGCTGGGACGGAACCTTGCGGAATTCCCGGTTGACAACGCCAAGCTTTTGCTGCCCGCCCTAGACCCTGTACAGTCTGGTCGACGACCCCCACCTAAATCCTTTCGCATCCATGCCTTTTTCAGCCCAAAGCCCCCAAACCCCACAGCCTCAAAGTTATCTACACCTCATCAGCCTAGCAGTATAGCAGTAAACTTTGCCCCGCGCCTTGTTTTGAATCTCGAGCTGCTGCTTGTGGAACTCCTGTGTAAGGTATCAGGTTGAGGGCCTTCTTCGGGGGACCGGGGGTTATCAGGGCTTGGGGATAAGGCTGCACGGGTTGAGGCGTTGGGCTTTGCAGGAGTGTCGTCTGTAGGATTCATCCAAAACCTTATAAGCCCAAGCGTAAAGGGCTAACTAATAATAATAATGATAATGATAATGATAATAATAATAATAATAATAATAATAGCAATAATAATAATAGTAATAATGCTAGCAATAATAATAATATTAATAATAATGATAGCAGGGTTTTCGGGCTTGCTCTTCAAAAGGGCGCGTTCTATTCGTTGTAGTGTAGGTTGTAATGTAGGAACCTCATGAAGAAACCCTGGCCCTATAACCCCAAAATAGTAGGAATTATGGAAAGAACCCTGATAAAGACCCAGGGTTTGTTAATCAGGTTCCTACATTATTGCTTTAGGAAACATGGGTGGTTGTCAAAATTAGGGTCCCTTTCTGGGTCCTTATTCTAATCCGGCACCTAGTATTTAGGGTACCCCAAAAGGGACCATAATTTTGACAGCCACCCACATGGATCCTGCAGCCCCCTTCTAATCATTAAGGCCCCTACAGTAGATGTTCAAGGCCTCGTGCCTCACAACCCTCTGCAACCTGAGAGTTTGGTGTGACGGTTTCCTCAAAGCCTGGAAAGACCGAACCCACGGAAACTAACACAACCAACTTCACAGTAAGAATGGGGTTTGGCCTCTGGCATAGACTACAAGGACATGTCATTGCTAGTGGTTCAGGCCTCTCTGTTCGAGAGCTGAAGCCTGGTGAACTCGTTAGCGCCTTGCCATCTAAGAGCCCGAAGTCCACGATGCAACAACTACGAGCACGTTAGACCAGCAACATATGCAGACTGCGGACGCCCTCCAACATTTCACCCATGGCGAATCCTGAGCCTGGGGATGAGCAACATAAGCAACAGAACCTCTGCATGAAAGCGCAATTTGTCCGACATGTGCCACTCTAAGTATGAAACAGCACCCGTCGCCCGGGCACCTCCTTTGCGAGCTGCTTTTCGAGCTTCTGCCGTGCTTCCATCTCCTTAGCTGGACGCCAGCTTTTTGTGAGCAGGCTGATCGACATGTATATGTTACAACATGCAGAGACGCTGGATCCGTGGGCTCGCAGTAGAGTATCCACACTAAGCCTCTGATCCCCCTGCCAAGCGTCTTTCCAACTGAGAAAACCCACAACACTATACTTTTTGCGGGTCATGCTTCCATCTGCTTGCGCTCCTCTTCGGCAGCACGCTTGTCATTCAAATCCTTTAGCCTCGGGTGCTCTTGCTGGGCTTTGGCCAATGTGCAGCGGTAGCCCTGATATGATTGGGCCCTAACACGCTCAACCCTAAGCCTCTATAACCCGTATAACCCTACAGCTCTAAACTCCGAAATCAGCAGTTTCAGTCCTAAACTCCAAAGGCCCTAAAGCCTCAACCCTAAACCCTAAACCCTAAACCCTAAATCCTAAACTCCAAAGGCCCTAAAGCCTCAAACGTTCAAGCCTTGGACTTCGAGCTTGATGGCTTCTCTCGGACGGAGGACCAAGGGCCCCACTTACCCCAAACCCCCTTTCAGCCCGCTGCCCTCTCTCTCTCTCTTTAGGGTTTAGGGTTTAGGGTTTAGGGTTTAGGGTTTAGGGTTTAGGGTTCTCTGTCTCTCTCTGTCTCTCTCTGTCTCTCTCTCTCTCTCCCTCAGCCATTCGAATTGTCAAGCCTGACTGAAGGGCTGCACTTGCGGCCTTACGTGAAATAGATGATCAGAGCGACAAGCTGGTAGAGAAATGTGTAGCCTCTCTTCGAAACCCCTCTTGCCCTCAACCCCAATCCCTAAACCCAAACCCTGATGTGCTGCCTCCCTTCGAAACTCCTCTTGCCCTCGACCCCCTTTACCCCCCAAGCACGAAATCTCCCGGCCCTTTTCCTAAGCCCTCAGCTACCTAATGTAGCCCTAAATAATCACCAATACTATTTTGGGGGTCCCTTTGTATAAATAGTGTATAATGGGCCCCCAAACCCGATTAAAATTATTAGAACCCCTGTGTTACCGGAATCGCCAGCCCCAGGCTCTTCCGAGACTGTTCCCTCATCTTCTCCTCCTTGTCGTTGGCCTTCCAGAATCCCATCCGAGGGCACACGCTCTCACAACTCGGACAAGCCAGGTGAGGTCAAGGCTTTTTTTTGGCTTTAGGCTTCGGGCGTCAGGGTCGAGGAGAGCAGGTTTTGTTTTGTAATTAAGATGATTCGGTGTGCCGCATCCATCAAGGTTTTCCATGGGGATTTAGTGATGGGACCTGTACGGGTGTCTTAGAATGAAGTATACTAGAATCTAGAAGTCAAAATGGAATCTGGGGCCTTCTTTTAAACTTCGAAGCCTACGCAAGCCTTCGAACTTCTCGAAGTTATAGGGCTTTTAAAGTTAGGGTTGAGGGTTGGGGGTCTAGGGACTAGGGAACTCCGTCGGGGTGCATATGAACAAACTGCAGATCCTGAATTAAGGGCTTTAGGATTAGGGGGGACCCTCGCGGATATAGACCCTCTCAATGAGGTCCCGTTTCAAAGAGCCAGTAAGGTTAAGAAGGGTCCTACCCAGGGGATGAATTAAGGGCTTCGTGATCCCTACACCCTAAACCCCACTCCCCAGTTCGACCACGCAAAGCCCCCTTTTATGACAAGCCACCTAAGCCCTAATGAGCACAATAAGAACCATAACAATAATATTCGGAAGAACCATAACCAGAACAAGAACCATAACAAGCATGATAATAGTAGGATTAAGAAGCACTAATACTAATACTACTAAAAATTATAATCGCCTTCTTGCTATTGTTATATTTAATATCACCATGAGAAGACTGGAGTCGTCGCCTCGCCCTGAAGCACCAGGTTGGCATGCTCCAATTGCTTCAGCTGATTCAGCTCGCACTGCAGGGCCTGGCTTTCAGTCAGTTTCGGGGGGGGGTTTCGGGGGTTTCAGGTTTCGGGCCCTTAGATTTTAGGGGCTTGTGCTGCTTCAAAGGTCTATAGTTGGCAAAGCTGCAAGGCCTGAATCCTAAACCCAAGTGATGCATGGCCCCAGAAGCCTATTCTCACGCCAAGGCCTTGCAAAGAACTCCAGGAACATACGATAGGGATGACTAGTGCCGGGGCGCTACTATGCTCTACCGTAAAGGCATAAAGAGGACAGTGTTCCAACTCTGACTGCAGCTTGTGCTTTACGTGTGTACGGGTTACAAGATCTTGCAACTACTGACTTGCGCCCGAACTCAGCCAGAGGGACGGATTTCAGCCAGGCTCGCTCATTCTCTTGAGCACGCAGAAGCCTCGGATGCTCCGGGCTCGGGTCTAAACTTCAAGGGGTCCAGCTCAAAGAACACTGCTGTTGAAGAAAGGCTGACCATTGCTCTTGCATAGGTCTTAGGATCATTCCTGCAAGGGGATGTCGGAACGACTTGGGGCCTTGGGATGCGCAGGGCGAAAAAGGACCCGTGACTTGCGCAGCCCGGAACCCTCAGCTGTGGCTGTGGATAGGCGTTCACTCCGTGAGCTCCTTGGAAGACCCACAGGCCCCCGAAACATTGCTGCTTGGCCGCTTTTGCCGCTCCATCTTCAAGGTATCGCTGTTGAGTGCGAGGATGGCACCCTTCGTCATGCCGCTCTCCTGCATGGAGGATCACGCGGCTTCGGAAGGTGGAGGAAGTATCTGGAACTCATATAGTAAGGAAGCCTAGCTCATAAACTCGCAACAGCAGTTACAAGGGGAGTCCTACCGAGGCTCGAGGAGCAGCAAACATCAAACATGTCTTGTGGAAGCAAGCGTCTGGTGGAACGACTTATTGAGCTTCGCACTTTGGGGTCTCCTACTCCTCAGCTCGTGGGGGGTGCTGCTTAATGAGGATTCTCACGTTTTCCTGTCATTTTGGGTTTGCGAGTTGGGGTCCTGCAGTTTCTGAAATCTCTATTGAAACTTGAGAGTTTGCATGTGAGTTACACCTCGAGTAATGGTGAGGCATGAAACCATGATACCTCAGCTCTAGCATTCGACGCGCGAAATAATCGCGCCCACATGGCAGCATGCATTTTAGGACCGTGCCAACTACATCAAATCGTGTGGGCAAGTCTGCAGCGCATGCCGCAGGAATTAGTCATTAGTCCCTCATGCAGTCTGTCTTCTGAAGCTGTGACCTAGGACTGTCGAGTGAACGGCTGCAAATTTCGGCAGCTTTCAGAACTTTTTGCCGCCCGTGCGACCGGATTGCACCGAAGAAATCCGAGGATGCGTGAGGTACAAACCAGCCTAGGGCTCCAGTCCCCAGAATCAAAACAAGGGTCTACTTCTCTCCATGCGAAGTACATGAAAACTCTTACTATATATCTGTCTATGTATCTATCTACCAACCTTTCTACGTGGAGGGAAGATTCCCCTACATACATACATCTGAGCAAAAGCCTACTCGAGAATCTGGAGCCCCAGACCAGTTTAGAGCAGCTGCTGCAGAGACTGCTCAGTCTGCTCAGAGGATCGGTGTCGTAAGTCTGATCTCTTCGATCTTAAGGTGGAAGTTCCGTAGGTTGTTCTCGATCTCCGTGGTGAAATCGCCCTGAGTGCCAGGAGCTACTTGCATAACCAAGGTCTGCAGAGGCGAGTAGCATGTCGAGCAACCTGTGCCACCGCAGTAGTCAGCAGGATAATCGAGAAAAGGGCCTTGCGTAGTGTCAGTGATCTTCGTGCGACCGACGTAGACATCAAAAGTTGGGCCTCCTTGTCTGCCTGTGCAACCATAGCCCACTGTATACTGATAGGTCATCGTGATGCTACCCCCGGCTGGCATTTCAGGGATCTCCACCCAAACAGCCCATGTCTTCTCTCTCGGATTGCCGGATCGGACGTTTTCGGGAGGGTTGCCCCACAGCCCGGCATGGCCACCGCTGACGCTGACGTCCGCCATGTCGAAGTGTGAGTATACGGTCTCCGTAACTGTGGTTTCTGCCCGGTTCTGACAGCTACTCCCCGCAGCCATGCAAATACCATTCACGGTGCCGCACTGCACATGCTCCGTAGGCACAACCTCGACGAAAGTGTCGTTGCATTTCTTCGGATCAAGCCCATCGCATCTCCAGGGCCCCTGACCTCCGAAGCTGCCACAGCAATCGCCGCTCTTGCATGCGGCTGTGGTCGTGGTCGTGGTGGTCATCTGATACGCGGAGAAGCGGGCCCAAACAAGAACCCGATTGTCTCCAGACCAATGACCCGAGGCACTGCAGTCATCCTTCCCTCCGCCGCCGCAATAAGCAGCGTTCAAACCGAGTCCGGAGCTGATGTCGTTGAAACGAGCACTGGTGGGACATCCCCAACCATCACCAGCCATCATACAGAACATGCAAGGCTTGCCGCAACCACTGATGTGCCAGCCCTTGTTCCGACAAACTGGCTTCGGGTCGGTGACAATCCGCCCTGCACGAAAGAACGCAGGCGCTCGGTTCCGATCACTACCAAAGGCCCTCCTCCACTTCCACCAATCGGCCCAATTTGGATGCTTCTTCAGCTTGACGCTGTTCTTGGTCATGAGGGTCTCTGGTGTGCCCTTGCCTGCAAACTCAATGACCGGCATCTCCCGAAATCCTGCAAGTCTGTTGGTCTGCAGCTTTATGGCATCCACGTGCTTCAACTTGTGAAAGGCAATGTGCTTGGCATCATAGGAGCGAATATTCGGCATGGTCGTATCGATCATCTTGTCTGGATTGAATGACTTCCCGTCGTTCCACCTCTTGGACCCATAGCAGAAGTCGTTCTTGCTAAGCTTCATGACCTTACTTCCGCAATATCGCAAAACTACACAAGAACCCCAGAGAGTTTAAAGGTCGGGCAGCGCAGAACTCCCCTTACGATCACCCAAGGACTTCTCTAAGCTACCAAAAACAAGCATATCTTTGGCCATTTCTCCGAGTTGCGAGCACCCAGTGCTCATCGCCCATGTGTCGGAAGACCATCCGGCCACACTTGGGGCAGTCTTTGCTAGGCAAAGCCTCGAGGGTGTCGAGCTTGGCATCAAGACCTTCGTTCTCGGAGAGGAAAAGGGGGCCCTGATAACATACTGCCTATACTGTTTTTGCTTGAGGGTGGGGCGGGGGGAGGGGGGGGGGGGGGGTCCTTACTATACTTGTAGTATAACGTACCCTACATTAGGTCTAGCTTGAGGATTTGTGTGGATACAGGGTGCAACAAGAGCTCGAGGGTTCGAGGCCTTGTCCGGAGGAGCGGTTTACTGCAGTAAACACATCAAGATGATAGGAACATGCTACTGCAATTCGTGGATATATGGGGTATGTCCACAACATATACATATAAACAGTCAGTAATGCTAACAGCAACAAATACCAATAGATGACAACATTGAGTACGGTGAAGCAGTATGTCAATAAATACTATCAAACAAGAAATGGGACCCTGGTACACACCGAAAAACTTGTTTGAGAGTCTCGCTGGCATCTGTCTCTGAGCAATGCACCTCCACCGTCTACACAGTGAATCATAAGGTTTGTAAAGTTTAAGTCTGGATGGGATGAGGCAGCGCAATGGGTAAGGCCCCTGCGACTTCATGGAAAGTCCTGGGCTCAAGCCCTCTAGGTGTCAAAAAAGAAATGCACTGAGACTCTGGTGGATTTCGAACATTTCTTAAATGCCATGTCCGGGTAAGAAATGTGCGAGGCTCTGGTGCGTGAATGTGGTTTTCTAAGCAAAAAGTTCCACCGTGCCGAGTGACAAGTATAAACGAAACTATACTATAAATGAAAGAACATGATGTCAGCAGCAAAGTTGAAATACACAAATACAAGATAAGTAGAGCACACAACTCAATACACCAATAACTATGTTTCTATATACACATGTATGTATGTACGTATGTACGTATGTATGCATGTACCTACGTATGTATGTATACACATATAGATAATATATGTACGTATGTGTGTATATATGGGCATCCTAGGGCATCTTGTAATCCCTAAGTGGGTTAAAGGTCCCAAACTCGGTTTCTGAGCAGCTCTCCGCTTCAGTCAGGTCGACCTCTGCCAAGGAGTTCACAACCTTACGGCTGATGGACAAAACGGTTTAGGGTTTAGGGTTTAGGGTTAAAATCCTGCATGACTTTATATACCTAAACTATGGGATTTATGGTACTATACTATATTTGGGTCATGCAGACATATGTCCAACAGTATCATGACCAGTTGCAGGGCTTTAGGCCTTTAGGGCTTAGGCTTTGAGGGTCTGACGGTGTAGGGTTTGGGGTCTAGGGGTTTAGGGACTTGGGGTTTAGGGATTTTAGGCTCAAGGGCTTAGGCTTCCTTTTTACGGGACCTTTGCGTCCCTTTAGAGATTCGGGTTTAGAGTTTAAGATTCAGGGCTTATGCAGGTTAAAGGATTTAAAAATGCTCAAGGCTTATAAGGGTAAGGCAAGGCCTCTAAGGGTTTCGGGCTCAGGGTTTAGTTCAGTTCATTCGGCCATATCGAACCTCCGACTTAGAAAGGGGACGACATGGGTTTAGGGTTGCCAAGTTCAGCTCGAAACGGGATTGTATGATCTCAGAAACCAGGCAGTCTACCGACCTGGCACCAAGCAACAGCAGACGAATGGTCGTTGTCGTCCAAAGCTCTGGAGAAGTGAAGCAGGGTCTGGAAAAAGCATATGTAGGCCACTGAAATCATCTTTGGCTGACGAACTCGAACGAATCTGTACTCCCCAAGGCCGTCATGTGCGGCGTGGGAGCTAGGTTTGAGCAGTAGACATTCAAGAGGCGATGTAGTTTAATTTGGGGTCTTAGAAACTTCTGCCTCAAAGCTTGACACGAGGCCTACTCTGCAATTCCGATCCGTTGCATGACAAGCCCTGTCCTGCGCCGCCAATTCCAGCTGGTGCTTAGAGTTCTCCTGTCATGCGCAAAAAGAACAGCCCGAGCCCGGCTCTCGCTCAAGGCTCACGGTTCTGTAAAGCATAGAAAATTGTGGCATGTTCCTCACTATGGATCTCGTCCATCGTTATGTTGCGGTGTCTGCTCCGAGCACGATTCTTCCAGTGGTGAGAGCGGTGAGAAGTCTTTTGCGGGTCTGGAAAGTGGAATTGAAGGGTGCTCGATTTTGCGGGATCTGCATGAATGAACCCAAGAATCCCAATTGGCTATCAGTGGCTTACTGCCGTTGCCCCCTTTTTGCTCACTGCATAAGCCCTTTCATACGGAGAGTAGTATAGTATAGTATAGCATAGTACAGTACAGTATAGTATAGCATAGTAGAAGGTAGAGCATGATGTAGTGACCCGCTGCATCTTTTCTGTGTATTTAAGGTCGCGGTCCAAACCTTGGGGACCAAATGACCCTTATAAGTAGGGGCCCTATACCCTTATACTATGAATCCCTATATGGTATATGAACCTGAAAACCTTTTGGGGTTCATTTCGTCCTATAAGGAAAGCCGCATTCAAGGTTTCGGCCCCAAAGCTGGAGTCCAATACAAGGAGAACTAGGACGTAACGAGGAACCCTGCATTGAACTCTGGGAAAACGACCATGTGTCCTACAACACCGGAATTAAATACGGTTGTAGATGGTTGTCACGTCTGCAGGGCTATATGGCTCTATACACTCCAGATACATTGCGTAAACGTGAGGCAACCTTAAACCCTAAAGACGGATTGGCGGAGTCTAGTCAAGTCAAACCGCTACATCCGTATAGAACGCCAATACAAATGCAATTCAACAACCAGAAAACATTGCTTCTTATCCGGCCCCCTGAACCAGCGCATTACAAAGTTTTTTGAAAAGTCGTCGTATCATGTCTTATCTTAGACCTTGACCTGCAAAGCAATGCACCCTAAAACCCAAGTCCCTATAACATGCTCTAACTGCCTCTCAACCGCTATGTGGAAGAATTTCCAAAAAAAAGCTCTGAAGCCTATGAGGCCGTTACAAAACCTTATGAAACCCCTATTACAAAATCAAATCTGTGGGAAGCCGATCCTTGTCCCGGTGTTCATCTGCGAGTATGGAATCCTGGGTTGAATCGTCGAGGGTTGTATTGGGCCTCGCCTACGGCTCTAAGGCTTCCTGCTCTATAGGTGTGCGGATAAGTTTTCGGATGGCTAAACCCTAAACCCTTTTTGCATCAGGACTTGTGCAATCGCCTGAACCCTAAACCCTAAACCCTAAACAAGGGCTTCTAAGTTTTCGGATGGCTCGACCATGAGACGCTGAATCCTTACGTACTTGAAAACGCACGGATGATCTCAAAAAGCGCGTCATCTCAACCCATCCCCTCCCGCACAATCATGCTGGCAAAGATTGTGAGGCACAGAAATTCACTCTCGATTCTTGAATCCCACTATTCAACCCGTCTATTGCGCCATGAGGCCCTGTAACAAGAAGTGTAACAGGGTGAGCAACCCTTTGAAGCCTTCGTACCAACAAGAAACACTTATAACTCTTTAACTCGTGCATAGCCCCGACACAACTGTAGTAGACCCTTGTAGAACCACCGGAAACCCCGAAAGCCTGTTCAATACCTAGAACAAAAGGGGTCCGAAGAGCCCTACACCTTGAATCTGAGTCCGGAAAACAGGTCCAGTTAAAACCTTAACCCGCAACAAAACCTAACCCATTAAAATCCGAAACCCGCAATGCCAAAACAACCAATGCCAGAAGTGGCTCCCAAGAAAGGAGCCTGGGCTTAGGGCTTAGGGTTTAGGGTTTAGGGCTTAGGGTTTAGGGGTTAGGGGTTTTAGGGCTTTGGGTGTTTGGGGTTCTTTAGGGTTTAAGCCCCTCTGGATAGGGTTTAGGGTTGCTCTCTCCGAGGCTCTCTCGCCCTCCTTGCGGCCGCGAGAAGGTCGCGGCGCTTGGCCTCGAAGAAGTCATACCTTCAAAGGGTTTCAGATCGGCTTTCTCTCTATGTATTCTAGATTATTATTATTATTATTAGTATTATTATTAGTATTATTATTATTATGTAGAGTTGGACCTCAAATGGGATGATGAAATGGTTTCACAAACACGCCAAAACACAAATCATTCGGCCATTTTGGTTCGTAAGTCTCTACTTCAAGGTATGGTTTAGGGGGACATTGAAAACGACAGGGTTATCGAGAGTGCTTTCTGATGAGGCTGTTTGTATTGCAGCATGCTGGCTGCCTATCACTCTCAAACCCTAAACCCTAAACCCTAAACCCTAAACCCATCGACCCGGGGAATAACCAATCCGTCACAGCTGAACTGCCACGCGATGGACACGAAGAGAGACTCTCCAGGATAAACCTTTAACCGACAAAAAAAGTCCGCAAAGCCTAACTGTAGCAAACAAATCCGGCGAAACAGTACGTGATGATAGGGCCCCTTACTGACAGGCTATTTTAAACCTCTGACGAAATCCAGAATCTCTCTGAACCCACCCCAAATCCCTTGTGAAGAACCTGTAAAAAGCGGCTGCGGCCTGAGTTTCACGAGCCGCGGTGAGAGATTCCTTTCCTGTGCATTCAGCGACGGGGCCGGGTATGAAGATTCCTAACTATGTTTCACCGGGTTTAAAGAAGTCTTTTCAGGCTTATGTCGGTCTTTGAAAGATTTCTTGACAATAGAGGTTCTGACTTGTGGGGACTTTCACAAAACACAAGGGCTCCCTACACCACTTTACTTACGATGTAAAGGAAAGTCCCCTGTTGTCTGAAACTGGCAATCTGATTTCCCCATTACCGAGGGACCCTCGCAGCATGCCCCCCCAAAGACATCCCACCACTGGGGCCTTGTTGAAGGGTCTTTTGTTTTTGCAACCTTTTCAAGAGTCCGGGAAACGACAGTAACCCGACTTTGGGAGAAGGCAAGGCTTTCAGCAGGTGGCGGTTGCGGCTCGCCAGGCTTTCTACGCTGTTGACAGAACTCTCTGAGTGCCATACCCTACTTTTTCCAAAAGGTCCCGACATGAAGCCCGGCATGAGCTGAAAACCCTGGGAATTGAATGCCCTAAAGCCCCAAAGCGCCCTTAAATAACCATTTCAGTCCTGGAATGCTTCGACCTCAGTGGAAAGAGGGTTTGGAGTTCAGGGCCTAAAGTCAAGGCCGGGTTCTGCAGACCATGGAGGGTTTAGGGTTTAGGGTTTATAGGGCTTTGGGCAGCGTAGCAAGCAAGTCTGGGAGGCTAGGTAGGCGCAGGGGGTCCGGCCTCTCTGGGCGCCACTCGACGAATAATCAGAACTGTGTTGCACATTGTCTCTCCGAACACTTTAACGATGACGGTAACAATCGAAGCACTGTTAACAAGAACATTCATAATCAATTGCTACTAGCAGCAATATTCGTAACAGTAGTGACAAGACCGCTAACTCGCTGATACTCATAAGGCTAATATCAGTAGAAGCAGATTCGTGCCTTGCGGACCATAGGCTTGAAAGAAACGATAAACCCTCTCAAAGAGCGATGCGAGCAAGATTCGCTAACGGCATGACGATGCGCAACCCTGTGCTCCAGTTCATTCCCATTCCTAATGATACCTCAGACTCAGTCACCCGAACCCTCAACCTTAAAATTCCAACATAGGAGCCTTGCCTTAATTAGAGGAAACTACAGGTGGGGAGTTTAGGGTATATAGGGCTTCTTAAAGGCTTCCATAAGGTATATAGACCTTCTATAAGGCTCCTAGAACAATACCTACCTACCTGAAAATGTCCTGTATAGACTTAAAAGTTAGACTGCCGTGCGCTTGGGCTTCAGGCTACAGCTCTACGAGGCAACCTAGTACTCCAGTTCAGCAAGCCCCGTTCTTCTCGTGAGCCGCAACCACGGTTTAGGGTTTAGGGTTTAGACCCTAAACCCAACCCTAAACCCTAAACCCTAAACCCAAGGGCAAATTGAAGAAAGTGGCAGGCTTGAAGATCAGCTCTTGCGGAAGTACGCCCTCCTGTCTGCAGGCCTGGCTGCTTTGGGAGGCTGCGGATGTTAAGCTTCGTGGAATTCCGCGATGACGAATGCAAGCTTTAGGTTTTGAACCCAGGCTGGCAAGTCTACCCATAGGCCCTAACGTAGTTCCTTTTTGGGGTTCATATATAGAATCCTATAAGGTAACCCCAAAAAGGAACTACTTTAGGGCCTATGGGTACCGCATCACGTCGAGCCCAAGCTCGTAGAGCTTTCGAGACCCAATTAGCGCCTGCTCTTCGTTTTGGGGGTCTCTATGGAACCCTAAACGACCAAGGTCTTTTAACTCTGAAAGCTTACTTTAGGACACTTGGGCGTTCGGGAGCTCAGGGCCTTGAGGGTTGGGGGTTGGGGGGCACGACAAACACCTGCATTACCTTCGTGGTGACACATGTCATCGAACCTGTTGCACATATGTGCATCCTGGGTGGGACAAGCGTGTCCCTAAAGGCACAGGGACGAAAAACCCACCCGAGACGTACAGTGAGAATGCTGCACTGCAGCACCAGAAAAGGCGGCAGCAAACACGATTTACCGCTGAGCTTCAAAGTGTCAACACCGTAGGGTTACATCGGGGACGCAGACTTCTCCAGAACTTCTTACTCAGGTTCTCGTTTGCACCAAAAGCTTGTGTCAGCTCCTGCTTCAGAGGTCCGACGCGTCAGAACGCTTTAGGATTCCTGAGCTTAAGCTGAAAACCCCACCTGACATCCCCAAAACTCTTAGGACCCAATAATCTCGAACCCAGCTCCCAAAACTCCCTCGGAGTGCCTGTAGTGACCTAGGAGAGTCGATCACTGCCTGCAAGAAAAACCGATGGGGCAAGGTCCGAGACTCTGGATACAGTTACCCAGACGGATTTAAAGCTTTGAGCTTCAGGGGTTTTGGGGGGCTGCGGCATCTAGCGTGTTAGCAGGTTTTAGGATTCAGTAGGGCTTCGTTAAGATTTGGGTTCTGCTTGAGCTGTTGGGGGTAGGCATAGGTCGACGACACTGGCAAAAAGAGGCCACTGTGCCTCTGCAACAGAATACTGTCTACAAGAGCCTTTACTTTTTGTGTTGGGATAAAACTATCCCTCATTACCGGAATCATGGCAAGTTGTACAATATCACTGGCAGAAAATCCGGTAACAACGCTATCAATACGGCATGACATACCACAAAGGCTCTTAAAGATACGACCTCAAGCAAAGGCAAACCCTAAAACATCAGCCAGGCGGTTAGGGTTTAGCGACGCTGCGCCTTCATCCAGAACCGCACGTCCTAAATCGTGTGATGGGTGGGTAGTTCTCTAAATTAGGGTCCCTTCTGAGGTCCCTCCACTTCCCGATCTCAACCGTTGGCACCCGTTTACGATTTCCGGATGTTTGGGCTTACCAATCTGACCTTGGGCTGACCATGAGCGTCGGCGAATCATGGCAGTGGTGAACCAAACAAAGGAACCTAAATGGCAGGATCCCGAAGCCCTAAGTAATATAGGGGCCTAAACAATGACCAATACTATTTTGGGGGTTCCTTATTATAATTAAAGTATACTGGGCCCCAATGCCCTATTCTAATTAATGAGGCCACTTTAATAATTAAGGACCCCAGCCGTTCCCATGTTGCTTCAAGCAAGGCCCCAAATACTGGAAACTTGTTGTCCCCTGATCGTTCGCATCGCCATCCACAAGAACCTCACCCGAAACTCCAATATCATTATCCCTTAGTCGGGGCTTTTCTGGGTTTTTCTGGCCGTTTGGATGGGTACCCCCCAAAAGAGTAGCGGCCTTCGGATTCGTCTCGTCGTAGTTGGCCAGGGACTTCATGGTTACGCCCTCCTCCCCTCGCTAATCCCACCCCAAAAATTGTGAGCCTGCGGTGCGATTCAGGGATTGAGAGTGTTGGACCTCCAGGTTCGGGAACCTGGTATTCTCGAACTGGTGCCGTGCCTGTTCTGGTGTTTAAGCTTTGAGGTATACGTCAAACGAAAGTTGGGATGGTTCTGTGGAGGTCATCAACAACGTCGTCACCATCACCATCAGCATCACAGCTGCGATCGAGCAGGGTTCTACTGGAGCAGCATTCCAAGTTTCTGGGGCATGGAGCACGTGAGCAGCACTCCTTCCTGCAGTACATGAAGAACTATGGCAAGAAAGGTGCAAGCACACGGTCTTCGAGTCGAAACACGCCTGGGCTCCGCCCCTCCAATTCCGCCCCAAACATGTCAACTCGCACGTTCAACGCCCCTTTTTGCACGCAGTTCGCATGTCGCCTGTGAGGCGAGACCCGAGCGGAGCCTGGCAGATAGACTGTAACTTAGCATCCTGGTGGAAATTAATGATGCTCTGGGTTCAAGGTTTTATGCTTTCGTGTTTCGGGTTTCGGACGCCGATAAAGATACCAACGACTCTCAGTAGAGTTCTTAACAGGTATTCGGGTCCTATAGGACTTTGGTGCAAAACCTATCGACGACTACCAGACTACCAAGTCGCCGCCAAAGCTCTGCACATTGGTATGGTGGACCTCCCTTTCCCGCCTGGGCCCGTAAACCTTCGACAACACGCCGTATGCAAACCTGTCGCCTCAAAGTGAAACCCCCCCTACCCTGCCCGAGCCAGGCTTTCAGGTTTATGGCCAACCCGTAGGGTCATGATCCTAAAACCCTATGACCCTTAGTTTAAGGTTTTAGGGTCATAAACCCTAAACTCAAGCTTAAGGGCTTAGGGTTTAACTTCGCGGTATCAGGGAAGAGAAGCCCGAGCACCAAGCCAAGATCCCGTATCCTAAACTCCCTATAGACCGAACGGAAGCCCAAGGACGGCCTTAGCCCAAGATGGCTTTCGCCTCCTCCAGAGCCTGCCCGGAGAAACAGCAACATCCGGTTGGAGCTGAGAGTCCAAGGCTGCAGAATTTCTGCTCCTTTTGGAGTTTCGGCTTTTTCGGAGTCAGGGCTTCGGGCAGTTTGCGACGAGTTGAAACACAACGCACAAGATCTCGAAACACAGAATTCCAAGCTTACGGCAAGACAACCAACCACTACCGTATCTTGCTACACGGCACGGCTAACCGCCCAGCGAAGGAGCATGTGCTCTCCTCACAGTATGTTGGCCGGCCGCTGACTAACGAACAAATCTGTTGGCCCGCAGCCCTCCTGAGTTCCTGTAAAAGCTCCGCGGCCGACTCCTAAACCCTCGGGTCAGCCAAGAAACCCGCGTTGAATCTGCCGTAGAGAAAGCCACATCAAGCAGTTGGCACTGGACTACAAAGCATCCGATTCGGCTTTACAGAGGAAGAACATTAGCAAACAGGAAAAGGGTACTGGCGCCACTGGGATGAAGGCATTTCCCCCCAAAAAAAAAGCCGGAGAGATTGAAAATGGTTTCGGGTTTTAGGGTTCAGGGCTTTAGGGTGTTATGTAGGGTGTTAGGGTTTAGGACTTTAGGGTTTTAAGGGTTTCGGCCACCCAAGCAAAGCCCCAGGCTCTGAACAAGCAGTGAACAGGCGAAGGCTTGAAGGTCGGAGATTAGGTGAAGGCATCTGCCTTCCGCTGCACAGCGGTTTCCTAGGTCTTCCTTCATTGAGGTTTAGGGTTTAGGGTTTAGGGTTTAGGGTTTAGGGTTTAGGGTTTAGGGGGGTAGTGCTCCCTCTGGGAAAGCTCAAACCACTGAGGCCTTTAGGGCATCGTAAAGCTCTAAGCCCTATTTTGCCAAAAGCCCTATAAAGCTCTAACTCCCCAAACACCTATGGCCCTTCAAGGACATGTAGAACTTTGATATGAAACACTTGTATGATCATGATTCGCTGATACAGCCCCAAACCCCGAACCGCCACAGACCATCCGGCCTTAATCTCCTGGCCACGTGCCTCCTGTCGCACTGCGAAATTCTCAACGACCTGGGCACCAGAATTCATGGAATCAAGGCTCGGTCCTAGGGTTGAGGTGCAAAGGCCAAACACAAAGTCGTATGGAACACAGGGCTCCGAGAAGGGTTTTAGTTCTGACCCTATAAACACCAATAAATCCCCAAAACAGCAGTCAGGATACAAGAAGGGCCCGGGAGAGGGAGGAGTGCTTCGGCATTATGACCTGCCCAACCCGGAGTTCAGAATTATAAGAAACTCGGCTCAGGCCGCACTCGAACAAGAGAAGCGAAGCTTTTAACCTAAAGGCGCGAAAGCTTGGCTCGAACCTTGCTTACATGAGAATCATGAGAACCCGTTGCCTTCACAATCTTCGCAGGCCCATCCCCTGAAGGTGACTTAAAGCAAGCCTTGTTGGAAACCAGAAGGGCTGTTAAGATGCTTGGGTTTGGGGATCCCTAGCATGATCCCGATTGGGTGTTACATCTGTACTGGAAACCCACATCCGTCCCAAGGCAGCCGGCAAAGTCGCAGGACTTGTGGATGGCGTCTTTAGAATCGGAGAGACTCTCCAACTCATCCTTCCAGGTTCTTGAAAGACTCGGCTTCTGGGCTTTTAGGCCACTTAGAGACTTGTGGTCGGAGGGTGTGTCTGCAAATGTAATTCTCTTTATGGTTCGTCTAAACTGATCAAACTTATCATAGGAAAGTTACCTACTATTCTACCGTCCGCCAAAAAGGCCACAGGGCCTGCACCACAAGTTCTAAGACCACACAACGTGAAGAGCCGTGGTGGGGGAAGGGCTTCGAAATGGCCCCGGGTCAAACAAACCCCCAGACGCCGCGCATCTTGGCACATGATCTTCGTCTAAACTTCGTCTGAGCCTTGGAAGCCCAGCTACATGGCAACCTGACGGACTAGTACACGGGACTCATAACGATTCGTCGTCAGGACGCACTATATGGGTAGTTCTCTAAATTAGGGTCCCTCGTTAGGTCCCCAATATAGTACAGGACCCCTAAAAGGGACCAATATTGAAAACTACCCATATCCTAACTACATTGAAAGGAAACTTTGAAAGGCGCATTTTACTAATCCCGGATCAAGCCTTCGACTCCGCACAGTAGCCCTGATGTTAAACCCTGAAGCCTTGCGTCATATATGCGCATGTTTAGAAGTGCGTATGAAGTCCTGAACCGCCTAAGCAAATCAAGTGTTTCTGCTGGCACAAGTAATTCATTCCGGACAACGGCGTTTTAGGGCTTTGGGAGCTTTGAGTTTAGGGCTCTGTCTTGGGGCTTAGGGTTTATTTTGGCCTTGTATCAGCTATTGCTGGATTTTTTTACCAGACTTTCGTCCGACGCCCTGCAATAAGCCAACCAATTCTACTTGTCAATACGCACTAGAGTTCAGGATATATGCTTTAGGGTCTAGCATATGCACTCTAGGGTTCCATGTTTTTTGTCTCCCACTTCTAGGGCTCCATAGAACAATCCTTGGGTGCGTGGAATGATTTCCGACAAGCTCGACAAAAAACTGCTCGATCTGGAGCTGCTAAAGCCTACACCCTAAACCCTTAATATAAGGGAAGAATATAGGTGCCTTGATGATTAGAATCGGGTTTTGCGGTATATCATACTAGAATTATAGTAAGGACCCCCCCCCCCC